AAATGTCAAGTCTTTTTCTGTGCCCTTCATCATCCTCTATCCGTCTAATCACATCAGTGAAAACCAAACAATTTGTCAGAGCCTTTTGAAATAATTATATATTTTTCTACTTGGGACTTTCGGAAAAGAAACATGACATTCTGGACTGCCTGCTTTGTTCCATGGCCTGATTTTTAAAAACAGAATAGCATAAAAAAAATGACCAACAGAAAGCATTAATAATTTATCCCAAAACCCAAGTGTATAAAGCAAGGAAACAACATCTGTTTCGTGATAATCCTCCAAATGTGACTAGAATACAGAACAGTAGAAAAGAGTGAACAATCCAGTTGTTACAAAGAGCTTCAATAATATATTGTATGACTTTCTACATTAAATCTTTCCCATTGGACTCATAAAGAGTCACTTTTATCAGTTTTATGGCATCAAATCCAATTGGCAATGAGTGATGATGTAAATACAACATTTCCTGCTTATAATACAGGTTAAAACAGCTTTTCTTCATGTGGATGCAGATAACAAATTGATATACATTATATTTTAATAGACAATGATCACCTGAACTGGACATGGGGCAGGCTATCAAATGAATATTTTTTGTTTGGCTAGTCTAACCATACTTTACACATGCTGGGTTTGTTGGTGGGGAAGCCAATGATATGCAGTCTTACATTTGAACATGTTGCTTTAATAAACTTTAGATAACAATAAACTTTAAATAAACAAGGGCACAAAGTTCTGTGAAGAAGCCTTTGAGGCTGTTTTCAAAAACAGTTCAGCTCAATTGTGGCTATGGTTCCCATATAGATGTGTTGGTACATCATACATAACAGTGGTAAATACCAATGTTATTCCTATTTTTTTATTTTATTAAATACTGTACAATCAAGACATAACTTATCCATTCACTGTCTGGATATGGATGCATGGTCATTATTGTTAAAGAGGACCTATTGTACAAAATCCACTTTGAGGGGTTTATGGGATGCTACAATGCATGATCTGTTGGGTATTTTGAGCCAAACACTTCAGAGACACGTTTTGTATATATCTGAGACCTATTATATATTGATGAAAAACAGTATAATAGGGGACTTTTAAAGACATTCACTGCAAATGAGCTACTGAAACAAACATTACCATTTGGTAAAGTGAAATGCTGTGTGCACCAATGGGGACACAAATGATCATCCCACCAACTCTACAGTTAAACAAAGCTCTCTTCTCAAAGTCAACATCTGTTCTGACATTAGATTTTGGCACACATGCTTAGTTGATGATTTGAACTGACAGTGGGTAATTTGTTACAGAGCAGGCTATTTTGGTAAAAAAACAGTTTCAGCTTTAGCACATGTCATTCAAAACCACAGGAAATAAAGATAGTTTTAGATGAATGTAGTTGTGTTTATTTGTGTTTACATTTGCAGTGCATGGCAGAGCTTTTTCCCAGAATGCAAAACTGTCCAACACTATACAGTACAACTACTAAGAGTGGCATTTCAAATGGCAAGAGGTTGCTGAAAGGTTGGGTCTATGCATTTATAAATGCGTTAGGGACTAAAACAGATGTTCTTTTTTTCCTAAGCATTTTCATCATTGGAAATGTCTGCTCTAGTGGGATTAGTCCTGCTGTGGTATTTCTATAAAACGGTTGCAATAAATGCTTTTCAAGGTAGTTTCTCCTCTTTAAGAGTCTCAACAGTCGGAGCTTCTGATTTTAAGGAACACAACTGCCTCTATCATATAGAAGTGAAAACACAACAGTAAAATACTGCAAACACATGCAGCATCGGATCAAAGCTGCTTGAGACTGCACTGCCTGCTAGGAAATTAGATTTATGATGTGGCCTTGTACTTTCACCACCAACACACATAGGTCAATTACGGTACAATTAATTTATTTGAGTTGATATATAGCGTGTGTACCTTTCAAAATAAGAGCCTGTGGTGGACAGAGAGGACTTTATCTGCCGTTCTCTCATGCTGAAGTTTGTGTTTTCACTGAAAACAGCAGGGTAGCAGGGAGAGATGCAGCAAAGGGCAAACTGACATTTCATGAAGGGTTTGATCCCAAGGCGGCAGAGCATGTGTTTCAACTCCCCTTAACCCCTGAGCATTGTTTAACTTTACGCAGAGACACTGGAGCTGATTATTTCGGACACTCTTGGGAAGGTTGGTGACCGACCGCTGTGTCCTGTTGTCCTAACAAATGATCACTTTGGCGGGCTTACAGTGAAGCGACAAGCACCAGGGACATTTTAGGGACGCAATTGGATCAGGTCCATAATTAATTCAGGGCCTGAGATCAGTCCCGCGTTATTTCCCACTCAGTAATCTGGCTGGGGGAGGATTGGAGAGTAATCTGGATAGAAGGCGGGAGAAAGGGAGGGAGGGAGGGAGGGAGGACAATCCTTTCTGCTCAGTTCCTCTTCACATCGTCAATTTCTGGGTTAAAATGGGTTATAATGTTTTAGTGCTGGTGTGAAGAGTTCGTTTTTGATGGATGGGTGACAATCTAACTGCAAGCTGAATCATATTGAGATATTACAGGTACAGTTAGGAGTTTTTAAAGGTGCTTTAGACCACATTTCATTCTGTTCATCTGAAATCAGCTATAAAAGGACTTTGCTCAGTAGTAATAACTAACTAGGGTATATCATAACTGAGTTATACAAATTGAGCAGACTGTGGGCTGGACCATGACACGCAGTCAAAAGCTATTTTTTTTTTAAAAGCAAGTAAATGTACCTTTAATTTGGAATTGTTGGGGGGATGTGGGTAATTAGTTGCGAGTGATTTTGCATATATTAAACATGTCATGATAATCTTTGGATCAAGATTTCAACAGCCCCAGAAGCAAAATCAACTATGTTACATTTAATGTAATGTCTTCACGTAGAAGGAATTGGATAAAAGGTATTGAGAGAATAGCATTTCAAGCTGATAAACAGTGATAAGATATCTTTAGCTTTGATTTGTAGTCAATCAGGTTCTACTGAAGAATGTACTATCCGCACTATTAACCAATCCAGTAAAAGTGATATTGTAATATGAAATAAGGAGGAAGTTCATGCGTACATAGCCAATAGGGCCTATATGGAGCTCAACTACAGTATACGATATAAATACAGTATAACAGTAGCTCTGCTAGCACACTGTAAATGAATGGACAGAGGCGGACACATTCAAGCTAGCTTGCACAACTTCGCTCCTCCGTCCACTGTGACAGTGCAACTTCACCATGAGCACCCATGCTGCCTCAAGTGCTGTTGGGAATTTCGGAATAACCATTTTCAGTGGTAAATATGACTGGGAAAGTATACTATTCGTAGTCAGTGTAGGCAATGCTAACTAATGTAGCTACAATTCTACTGCGCATACAGCCCTTTTTGAAAGTAAGAGTTTCCGAGGGCACCTGAAGGCAGCATTATCCTACACCACTACACCGTCGCTGTGAGATCACTCATCCAAAATCACCGTCGCTTCACTGCTACAAAGACCGGAGCTTCCCGCCCACTTCCTTTGAGCTGTCTGCTAACAACGCACGTTCCCAAACACTGAGAGAAGAACAAAATGTTCATATTTTAACTTGACTCACCGTTAGTTGTCTGCTTTTTGACAGTTTGTAGGGAGTCTGCGAGCGTCGCTGTCACCGCTACGATCCGCCCACCCGAGTGTGCACTCCGCTGGCCGCAGACAAATATGCTCCTCCCCGGAGAAGCTCTGCACCAATCATGGCTCGATGTCGATGACTGGCTTTTGTCTTATCCAATAGAATCAAAGCTAAACTTTGAGTGACGAAGGATATATCCAATCATTGCCTCCAAACTATGGGCAGGTCTATCGTCGTCACCAGACGTACTTTTGATAGACACCTTGAAGGCACAATGGAGAAGTTTGACTCCTTATACGGGACGTTGCCGGTCCAATAGCCGAAGGGGACAGGCTTTGGCCGGCCAAGGCCCAGGAAGACGCCCTTGTATATCGCACAGATCACTGGAATGTCACCATGAGTAATTGAAGAAAATAGAGACACTCCGGTTTTAAACTAGAAATGACACACATATTAACCTGTATTGACGACGGCCCAGGTGTAGCCTTAGTTTCACTTTTCGATCATTAAATCTGTATTCTACAAATACATAGTAATAGTTAAGCACAACAGCTTTTATGGCAAATCATAATTATGTTTAGAACTGCCGATACTGACAATAAATTATATGTATTGCGAATGGAAATGCATGACATTTTATCTCTTTCTCACATTATATCCGCCCATTTTCCCGTCAGAGACAGTCAAATTACAATAACTTTCCATATAAAAAACCTGAGGGGAAAAATTCTAAAGCAGCTAAACTTCAAAATGGTTCAACCTCATATAATGTAGGTTTATAGTGACACCTAGTGATGAAAATGGCAAACGGCAGTCCCCGTGTGTCTCTTACTCTAGTTTGCATCATTTGTCTGATGTCAGATTATATATATATATTCTGACATCACAGATAAATGAATATACTCTGCTCTACCCCCTCCCTCAGGAAATCTCTCCCAAAACACAGCCATGACTGCACTGATATGCAGAGCAAGTTACTCACCCTTTGAGGATTCAGAATGTTATTAGTTACCTATATTTTTAACTTGTCGTACAAGTGTCTTTGAGTATCTTGAAAAACGATGCAGAAGTGAATGTTTTGTTTGTTTGTTTGTTTGTTTGTAAGAAAGTCAGAGCTCAGTCTACAATAGAGGTCTCCAAAAGCCATGAAATACCTTTTTGGTATTTTTTGGTATGTTGGGTTATAGGGAAGAGGAAAAAGAAAGGAAGCAGCCATGGGAAATATTATTTAAGCATTGAAAGCCTGGGGATTTTAATTTAACAACGTTTTCATTCAGGTGAGACAACACAGATTGTTCTAACAGTCTATGATTGTTCTTCACGATTAAAATATGTGAAAAAAACAACAATCCTTCAAAATAAGATACAAATCAGTCATTACTTTGCTTTCAAAGAGGTTTATTGAAAGAAATATTATTGAAATGTTATAAAGTTCAACCGTTGATAATGCTATCACACAATCAGAACCTAAAGCTTCACCATTTCCCCATCTTTAACATTTGATATGAATAAAGCACTGCATTGTCCAGCCCAGTATTATAAACCAACAGGTAATATTCCAGGGACTGCAATAGAGTACACATCACTGAAAAGATTAACCATTTTCAAAACATTTGTGAGAGTTTTTAAGCGACATAACTCAGTACTTTTCAGCAAAATGTGTTTAATAAATGCTTTTGCTAACATATTTTAACCCCTCATGCACTGATAAGAAAGTAAGATGTGGTCAAAAACTGCACTCAGATGTGTTGATAACAGTCAGTCTTCAGTCAGATGGGCAGAAGTAGTTTTTTATTCACTTGATTTCATTGGTAGGAGTGGAAACAGGGGAAATCAAGCGCCCCGAGATATGTGGGAAAAAGTTCTGCCCAGGACAGCCTCACATGCATCACTCCATTACAATCAAAGATACAAATATACAATGGAATATTGTATCACTATATTTGCAGCTATTCAGTAACCATCTCTTCCATGATCTGGAAGTTGTATGTATATATATATGTATATATAAATCTCCCATAACCTGGAAGAATTCAGTGTTTCACTCTACACACAGTTTGCAAGCATACAGCGAAAATCAGCTGCTTTGCACGTCAAACCTTCGCATTGCTTGATGGTTCTCAGTGCAGCATGCAAGTAAAAATGTGCACGATATTAAAAGTATTTAGCATCATCATCCTAATCACATTTCATATCCATTTTAACCATGGAGAGCTTTATCCACTTATTTTTTCCCCCCCAATAAGGTGATTATTTTAATAAGAAATTAGAGCAGACTTGATTTATTTAGTATATTTTCCTCTATATTATTTTGCATTTCAAAGCATGCCAAAGAAATGTTTCAGTTTCTGCATAGTGCTGGCTATACGAGTGCCAAAGAGCTTGATTCCTTTACAAGTAGAAGAAGGTATGTACAGGCAAGGAGTGACGGAGCAGATCCAGTGTTGTGTAAACGTTACCAAAACCCCCCCCTCCCCAAGTGCTCAAAATATCTACAAATACACGACTCAAGTCTGTCGGAACTCATAGAAAGTTGAACAGGGCTGAAAAAAGCTCAGCATTGTGGAAGAGCCAATAAGGAAGGGGTGTGTGTGTATGTGTGTGTGTCTGTGTGTGTGACGGTGCACGCTGGGTTTTTTATGTTTGTGTGTATTCAAATGCAAAGGGAAAACTATCCTCCTTATTAAACCCCTCCCCCAAGCCCACAAACCACCCATTACTCAGTCCCGTAAAGATGATTTGTTTTCAAAGTGCACCCCAGACTGTTATATTATGCATTATGCATTACATAAATGTATTCTGTAGCATTGAGTATTCCACTAAAGTCTACATACAAGGAAGGAGAGTCGACAATAACCACATTCTAGTTGTGAGGTCATAGGTCTGAATTTAAAGACACAGTTCGGGCCACTAGGTGACTTATTGAACAGTAACAAAACTCTCGCTACAGAATGTGTGATGGCGAGGAGGAGAGCCCGCTTTTCACCTCAACACTGGACTGTAGAATGAAAACAACATATTCACTGGTTGGGAACATTTTTAGATTGATTTGTTATAGGCCCTTGTTCTTGGTGACCACAGGAAGGGAGTACTGTTGAAAACATAGTAATGGTAATGAGTGTCAGCAAAGTAAAACACAACAACAAGCAGAGAGGCTTCAGTAGTAAGAAGGACATTTTCACAGAATGCTTAAAAGGGGGTCCTATAAACTTTACCCCAACAGTGATTCAATTACGATCACAATTGATCTGAAAGTAGCAATAATCTATTTTTACAGTGTACAAACCAACCTGATCTTCACAATAATGCTCTAGGTTTAAAATCTAAATTACACCCCAACAATGATTTTAAGTCACTTTGAAGAATGTCCTTGGTTGAAATTTAAAATCACAGATCAATCAATTCACATGTTTCAAAAATCACCAATGATCACGTGTTACAGCATTCTCTTGCTTTGGTTGGATACTAAAGTGCACCTTTAACAAAGTGTGGCATCACCTGCTCACATGCAGCCACACGGTCCAATCACTGTGCAGGAGAGATGCTGAATATACAGGGACAGGTAAAGCAGGCCATGTGTATTGAATGTGGCTTTGTGTGCAATTGCAAATTGATCAGAATTATTCAAAGTTATTATGACAATCATGTGTACCAGTCACAAAGCACTTTATAAATAGTGAATAATGCTTGTTCATTTCAGGATTATTATTGAGAACACATGGGGAGGGACACAAAGCTTTCACTTGCTGCACCTAATGACCCAAGACTAAATGATAAAACACAGGCAATCAAAAAAATCCTTCAACAATAAATAAATACAATAGCTCAGACCAGCAAGCAGCAGTACAATCTTCACAATTCTTCATTAAAGGGGAACTCCACCCGAGTTAAGGTTACAATGTTACCGTGTTAAAGTCCTTCCGTTCTCCTTGGTTTTGAAATCTGAAACAACAGAAAATGAACCTTCTAACATCAACGACACGTTCCTGAGTCTTTATAAACATCTGCACTGTAAGAAATAAAGTGCTAAACGGACGCAGTTAAGCTGCTACAAGTCTTAACTGTTTAAAGGACTATTGCACTTCAGTCAGCGTTCCCTCCTCTGTTGGGACGTGTCAGTGTGTGGTACAGGTCAGGAGAATACACGGATCATTTTGTATCAGGGAAGACCATTTGAAGATGTTATGGGTTTTTCATCTTGGCAACTTCAAACTTAAAAAAAACGGATGGAAGTGGAAGATATTACAGACATTTTTACTATAGAGGTTTTCATTGCACCTGCTCTTATTATAACGTGCCTTTTTGTCAGCCCTGAGGTACGGAAGAGGATTACGGCCACATGAAAAAAAAAATGTGGGGATGTGAAAAAAAAAATCCCCACATCAGAATACTGACTTTAATCTCAGAATTCTAACCCTTCTCAGAACTGAATCATGTGGCCCTAATCCTCTTCCGTACTGAGGTAAATCCATTCCTTAAACAAATTAATTTGCTTTATATAGAAGCTTAGTGTGTTGGTGGACATCTGATCATGATATGACAGGAATAAACTCCAAAAACCGGTGGTGTTGAAGTACAATTTCTTCATCCTGGCATCACTTTTATCATTGTGACATTTCTGGATAAGTATTATAAAACCTATGTTGTAAAGTATTGTTTGTGCTGTCTCATTTTAAATCGCTCAATCTGTCATTGTACCGTTTAAACCAGCCATTAAACCAGTTTGCGGCAAAGAAAACAAACGTGTCCTAGAGACGTTAGGATCCAGTGAACCTCTACAGTGTGTGGAAGCAAAACGCACTAAACGCCATGCTCTGCAAACGAGGACCAACATGTAACACGTGAAAAGATTCAGACCCGAACTAATCACACACATAATAAGATTAAAGCACACTCACTTCTTTGCCAGTGTTTGCATATTGTACTGTACACAGAATAATGGCGCATTCGGCTGGTCGTTGTAAACTGGCAAACTTATATATTGTATATTTACGCATCACAAGACAGACTATGTACAAGGTGAAAGCATTCAGGGTGAAAAGAAAAAGTAAGGATCAATGAAATCTGAGGTAGCAAATTCACTAGGAAACACTATAATCACTTTTTTTTCTGTATGCATGTGCTTTGATGTTTAGAAATGAAAGCTGGCCAGCGTTATGTCTTCATATTTTCACAAGTTGTCTGTTTCACAATAATGTCACAACTCATTGAGTTAAATTAGTGTTTTGCTTGTTTAACTATTAATAGTTAGCTGTTTTCGTTGCGCTGTCCTCGTGGTAAACCTCTAAGTTTGCCAGTTTACCTGTTAGTGATACGGCCTGAGCATGCCATAGGTTCTTCACTCTCTAGCAAATCTGTACAATGTGTGTGTTAGGGCAGCTGATATGTTCATCGAAAAAAAATTCATGGCTTTTAACCCTTCAGTTCCCACCCCTGAGGTGCAAACCAGCCAATCCAGTGCGCTCTTGGGAAGAGGGAAGCGTTAGCTCCGCCTCCTGGGGCAGGACGTCAGGGGGGAGGAACCAATGACAGAACGGGACAGCAGGTTTCCTGTTAGGCCAGCTAACACTACAGTTTACCAACCAGTTTGTGAGTTTATCGGAAGCGCCACGGACATATAGAGTAGAATAATATCAATAGGATTTTCAGTGCAAGACGTAAATGGCTACTTGTTTCGTCGTTATTCTGTCCGTTGATGTCTTGTTTTTGTCAGTCATCCAACATAGGACACAGCAGTAAAGGGATTCTTCTACAGGATGTGATCTACAGGGTAGCAGTCACTCGTGTGTGTGAAGTGTCCTCCTTCAGCAGAGGTCCAGACCGGTTCAGTCCGGTTTGACTGTGTTCATTACGAGGCAGAGCTCCTCTCTGCTCTGTTTGTGGTTTTGGTTAAAGGTTGTAATGGAGTTCAGAAGAAAGGGTGAGGGTGACTTGTGGGAGAGAGAGACAGAGAGAGGCCTTACCCTTCCCCCCCCCCCCCGCCTGGTTCTGAGCGAGAGGTCAGAGGTGAAACATCAGTGGTAGATACAGTAGCTGGGTTTTGGTGGTAGTACAGTAGGTGCCTTTTCATCTCCCAACAGGAGGGACTGCAGGACAAAACATCACCCCTCCTCTCTCTGTGTCCCCCCCTCCATCCCACTCTCCCTCTCCCTTAGCTCCCCCCCGGGTCAGAGCCGTGTCTCTGTGGTGTCCGTGAGTCCAGAGGTGTCTGTGATTCCTGGAGGGACAGCCTCCTTTGGGTTTCAGAATCGAGGGATGATACCTGTGTTCCAGCTGCCCCCAAACACACCCCTAAACTGAAGTCTAACCCTAAGTTGGACCCCGCTGCTGACCCACTCTCTATATCTACCCTCAAACCTGGGCCCAGTCCCAGCTCAAGGCTGTCCAGTCCGGAGGGGGCGAGCTGGCCCTGCTCAGTGATGAGGGGGGGGGTCCTGGGGCTGCAGGGAGTCCCGGCCCGGAAACCCTTCAAATTCCTGGGAATCCAAGATCTGCAAGAACAGTGAACTCAGGTCAATGTGACGAGTTACTTATTTTTCTTATTACTCTCACAGGTCACATTGCGTCACTGTTGTGATGTGAAAAGCAGCCCTCATTGCTGTGATGCATCCTAATCATGTTTAATATGCAAATATAAATAATCTAAGTATGTACAACATTTGAATTATATAATGAATGTAAATACAAAATATAAGCCAAATTATACAATAAATGATTGTTGTATAATTAACCATTATAGAAACTCAGCATGTAGGCTATATTTGATATGCTGCAAGCTTTAGCCTAATGCTTATGATTATAAGCTACTGAAACCATATTAAAATCAAATTTGCACTCCACAGAATGTCAAGTATGCATGTATGAAACCATCTGCTCCACCTGTGAGAAGGAGGCCAGGTTCTCTGTCTCTAGAGGAGTAAAAGGCTCCACCAGCCTCTCTCCTGGACATGGTGCTGGGCCGGGACCTGGGCAGGGGGAGACCTGCGAGAGGAAACATCTCATTACTCCTTCTCTCTATAAAGCCTGAGTCAGTGTCTGATAATTATAAGAACATTTCTTCCGTCCTGACTCCTGTTGTGTGAATTAGTCTTCAAACAAAGATTCTTCTTTGTCCACTGTGACAACAATCATCTTACTTTTTCGTACATGTGTGTGTGTGTGTGTGTGTGTGTGTGTGTGTGTGTGTGTGTGTGTGTGTGTGTGTGTGTGTGTATTACCTGAGGTGGTGATGAGATGGCGCTGTAGGCGGGGGGGACCAGGGCCATCTGTCTCTGTAGCAGCTGCATGATCGCTCCTATGTCCGTTGACATGCGACTCTCCAACCTGCACACATTATGCAATTGATGAACATATTTGAACTAGTTCCTTTAATACAGTTTATGAATGTTATTGAATACATTTTAAGTGCATATGTTATATAGGACATTTAGATTAAGAGCTACTGTATCTGAAATGTAATCTAAAATGTAAATGTAATAGATGCTAGTAAACAGCTTGTAGTTCTGAATCATAGCGACTTAGAATCCCAGATCTGTTTGGTCTGTGTGTGTTTTGCACAACCAAGGCTGCAGTAAAATCTGTAGAAAACATATTGTTAAAAAGGTTCTTGCAGTAACTTTCCTTTCAAAGTGCCTAACTTCTCTAAACTCAGTTTTTCTTATATTGCATTTCTCTTTGAACCCTGTGGTTATTATCTTACTTTTGGAGCCGTTACAATACATTTTCCTCACAGGGAGGCTGAAGTTGTATTTAATCTTATAGGAATATTGGCATTATGGTCAAGTAGTCACAGTGGAGACATACATAATTCAGCTACACACAGGAGGTGAACGTTTTCGCATTAAATCTAGCATATCTAAGGCTTCTATAAAGCTAATTAGGACTTAGATCTCTTGGTTATCTTTCTAAACTCCAGCAGAGACTTCCTCATATGTACAGATATTTTAAGTACAGGGGAAAATCTGTTCTCCCACACACCTCTACTCCCCTCACATACACCTTCAGCTAGCTGACACATACTACCCATCCCTTAAAACTCTGAGCAATCAGCTGGAGGCGCCGCCAGCTTCCGAGCTAAAGACCAGCACAGAGACAGCCTGTGCTGCAACGAGACCAGACAAAGGAACGTCTTCCAGGACGAGGAACTTCTATGTTTTAACTGCGTTGGAGGAGAGACACTTCCTACATAGACTGCAGGGTTTTTAGCAGGGACATCAATATATGGTAGAAGGGTGGACACAAAGGATAACAGCAGCCAACACATGAATGCACACAAACTAGAACACACACACACACACACTTCGACATTCAGCCCGTCCCACCTGTTGAGCTGTTTCTGCAGCATTTCCAAGCGTGTGTCCACCTGGTTGCGTTGCTGTCGGTTCAGGCTGTGCAGCGGCGTGTTGAGGTTCGGGGGGGAGGCCAGGCTGCAGCTGGGAACCTCCTGGTACTGCCCGCCCCCCCGACTCTCCCCCCAGAAACTAAAGATGTGGGACACACCTGAGAAGGCACCTGTGTGGAGAAGGAGTGCGAGGAGTTTTTGTTAATCGTTGGGTAGGCCTTACCTCAGAATTCACAACATCTCTGTCCTGTTTTACCTGACAGGGCGTTGCAGGTGTTCCCTGTCTTGGGCTCTCCATCACCCTCCATGTTCTCATCGAAGTTCAGGGGCGTGGCCTGAGCCTGAGCCTGAGGAGTCTCCATCATTACGGGCGGTGGGGCGAGTCTGTTCATATTTGGCTCCTCCCCCTGACAGGTGTAGCAAAGACATTTACGGCCATTTTTATTTAATCACACCAATGGCAGCGACAAAAGTAGACTTTAGATGTAGACAAGATGAAAATGTTAGTTTTACCTCGTCACCACTGGAGTGTGAGGACACTGAGCTTCGATGTGCCTGCCATTGTCGCTTGGGTGCCTCTTCCTGTTTTTGACTTTTGGTTGAGTCCCTCTGTCTTCGTCTTACAGACTTATGGGACTTTTTACTTTCTCCAGCATCTGCATCATCTGATTAAAGGTGTGTAAGAAAAGAGGTAAATTGATGAGTCCAGCTAGATCGATAATAACTTTTAAAGGAGGACAACCATTGACAAACCTTATTTTTCAATCAGAATTACTGAGGTCATATTTGAGGTTTTGTACCTCAGAAAAAAGTGGAGTGAAGCTGTTTAAGGAAGAGTTACCTTTTTCTGTACGTCTTCGAAATGAAAGCTTGCGTCTGCGTAATTTGTTGAATCCTCCACTGTTGGAGTCATCACTGCTCGGAGAGCCTGGGATCATGTTGGTCTGAAATGAGAACCAGAAACATTGTTGGGATGCAATTTGTAATACAAGCAAAATCATGGATTATTTATTGAAGGAAAAGGAAAGTCTTTGTTTGGATACTTAAAACAACACAGAGAACCATCATTCATTACACGGCTTGTTTATCCATAGAGCTTAAGCAATGGCACAATAATTAAAATGCTCGTAATAGACCCAAAGTATTCAGGGTGTCTGATTTAGTCACATTTCTTGTTCTTCGGTGAGGTTGTAAACTTACATCTCTGAGGTTGAAGGTGATTTCCAAGTTGTTCCAGAAGTTGTCTGCAAACTCAGGGTACATGTCCAGCACCTCCTGAACGTCTTCTCTGAAGATTTTGTGAAGGTCGCAGTAGGTCAGAGCCCGCACATCAGCGTTGGATTTACCGGGTCGGGAATACAGGTTGATTGGCTCGCCGAAGATATCGTTCTTCCCTGGGAGAGGTGAAAACAAATACAACCTTTTATGGTGTCATCTAATGTATGATATAACCTTTTCCTATTTTGTCAGTGTCTTTGTTGATTTATTGTTTTTGTTTATGGTGGCAAACAAGTTCATCTCATCTTAAGAGCAACAAACTAAGTTCACCAGCAGATGGCGCCTCTAGCTAATGCATTTTTTTTTTAAGTTGTTACAAGCAAGCCCGTAAAGAGTCAAGACTTAGAAAGGAATCTTGAGAAACATATTTGAACTTAAACCAAAAAGTTGTTTTGAAGATGTCTACAAACTTTGTTTAAAGTCAAACTTTAGAAAGTACCCTAAAGAACAGAGACAAACGTTTAGTTTAGATTCAGGTTTAGTTTCAGGTTATTTATTTAAAGCCAAGACTGAGGCATTTCTATCTGAACTACTCTTACTTGTTCACATTGAAGTAGCGATGAGCCGGCCTGCAAAGGATTGAACTTACAGTCTACAATGGAAATAAAATGTTTAACCAAAACAATATATTTCCAAATATTGCCATGTCCTTGCTTCATACTTAGTTACTAATAGCCTAAAAGTGAAAGGAGGCTACACTAGGTGGTAAAATAATAATTAAACATATTGTGACAGCTTTATATACATGTAAACAATGTATTGTACCTAAGATGGCTACCACCACGTCTCCCCTCATTATCTCTATGGATCCCCTGGATATGAAGTAGAGGGCAGTGAGGACGTCCCCAGCGTGGACCAGCGTGTCACCCGGGGGTGCGTGGGTGGTCTTGAACTTCATGGCCAGCGCCCTGAGGCAGCCCTTGGTGGAGCCTTGAAAAGCTTTACAGTTCTGCAGCAGCGTTCGGTTCAGATGGAGGCAAATATCTGCCTGGAGACACTCGGGGAAACCTTTCAGCACCTGGGGAGAGGGAGCGAGGGAGCAAGGAAGCAGAGGGAGGAGACGGGGGAAAGGAAGGTGTGAGAGAGAGAAGTAGGTGAGGACAGACGGAGAAGGAAGACAGAAGGAAATACAAATAGGAGGTATAAGATACAGGTGGGGGAAAAGAGTTTGAAAACAAAGAGAGGAGGGGGGAAGGAAAGGAGAAAGAGGGGGGATAAAGTAAGCGGATGAATGGATAGCGAAAGGTTACATCAGAATTGATACATGCTATTAGTAGCGATTGACTTTCCAAGTTTAGAACACGGAGCTAATGTCAAATAAATGTCACGGATTATGGAGGCTTTAAAAGGAATAATAAAATAGTGTTGTTACAGTTTTTATTTTTATACCAGTCACCCTTACCGGTAACATTCATGGGACATTAGCTTTATCAGCCTGTCATTACACCATTCCACACATGACACTACTCAATTGGCACATTCAAGTCATGGTTATTAAGCATCGTTCAATATTTTATGATTTCAACCATTCAGAGGAAGACTTATTTCTGTTCCTAAAGGGCCTTTGTAGTGATATTTAGTCAGATACAGAACTTAACCTAGCTTAAACACCCACCCTTCATTTCTTTTTTTTACCATTTATCTTTTTTTTTTTATCTATCCCTAATTTCAGCCTTCACTGGGCTCCATCTTCATCTCTTTGTAAGACCATTTTTATTTCCTACTTTCAACATGTTTCTGAGTCTTTTGGAACGGGCCTCATTGCTTCCAAATATACACACCTTTTTAATGTTTCAAGGCCGGGTGGAGTGGTTTTGAAAATGAATCCACTATTACTCCTGTTCACGGTAATCATTTGTGGGGTGCCCCAAAATGTGCTGAAGTCAGATTTTTTGAAGCAGGACACATCAGGTGTTCTCATTTCTGGTCTCCTGTTGCATTTAGCAGATGCTGAACTGCTGCCTTCTGAGGATACAGTGTTATTGCTTTTGTAAATGTTTGCTGTCATGATATTGTATTGTGGTTCTTGTCAAAGCTTCAGTTTTTTTACCATGAAAAAGTAAGGTTGTATTGGCCTCTTGGACACTTAAACTAAAGCTGCAACAAAATACACACAGGTGTTTGTATATCTGTTATTGATATATATATATATATATCTGTAAATTGTCTTGCGATAGATGCTGCATCAAAAACAACATCTATTAATTGATTCTTAATCATTAATTCAAGTCTCAAATGCAACAGAGAACAGCCTACTCACCCAACACATAGGTTTTATTTTTTTAAGAAAAAGCCCAAACTTCAAGGTTACCAAAAATAATAAGAGTTTTGATCCAGATTTCGCCACACACTTTCAAACATTAAATTACATTTGAGACTGTGGCTCCGCTTCTGTGGACAAAGTCAATAACACAATACACATTTGATTATTTTATAAATACTATGTTTCAGTGTTCTGCTAATCCAAATGCTAAAGAAACAATATATTTATTTATATTTTTGCTTCCGGCTCTTACACTACTTTAACGCGTTTAGTTTCTAATCACAGCTGCATTTATATTCCCTCCATTCCATGAAGAAAGTATTTTGCAGCTGATTGAGTCAGTATAGAGAGAGAGAGCGTTTACTCCAAGTTAACAATGTGGTGCTGATTATGCTCCAATGGGCCATTTTTAAAAGACTCTGGAAAAGCTTCCCCGATGTAATGAGCAGAGATATTTTTAGTAAAGTGTACTTTTTTCAAGCTGAGGCTGTGAAGCAGTGAAAATGTCTCGCTGTAAAGATAATAAACATGACATTTACTGACTCATGCACTGCATAAAATGCTTGCATCGGCCGATCTCAAGTGTGTGACATGTTTATGATGATCTGCATCTGTGGTTGCATGCATGTCACTTCTGAGCCTTCATCACACAGGACAGAGAAACCTGTTAGACAATGTGTGTGTGTATTTGTGTGAATTAGCAGGTGTGACTCACTGCGTGTTTCTCTGTGAGTTTCAACCTGTATGTGAAAACAGTGTGTTGCATTCATGCATGTGACAACCCGATGCATGCATGTTGCAAATACTTTAACCTGTTTATTTGCACGCTAGCCCATGTGTGTGTTAGTATTACTTATAATACTCACATCTTTCCTATTTTCTCTGATGGTGTCGGACCATGCATCATGAGACAAAGGCTTCACATCCTAATAACGTACAACGCAGGCTCAAAACACTCCTGTAGCCTTTTGTTGGTGTGTATTCATGCCCAACACTCATCATTTATAGTAACACACACAGGATTTGGGTGCATGAGGATCAGAACTCACAGCATTCATGTCGATGCCGTTGGTGTAGGACCAGGCGTGCTGGAAGTACTCCTCCAGCCTCTGCCGGAGCGGGTTGGGGATCTGATGGAAGCGGATAAACTCCCTGACTCGCAGCATCTGGGTGTGGTAGCGGGCCGTCCCCGAGTACAGCCGCTGGATGATGGCTGACACGTTCCCAAAGATGCTGGCGTACATCAGGGCTGGAGGTGGGAGACAGGGAGAGGGAGGAAGTGTGAGGAAGGAGGAAGTAGGTAGGAAGGGAGAGAATAACATATACATTAACTGAGAGTAAAGGGACACACTGACACTTCATACACTGATATGACCTGACATATTTCTGGCTCTTCATCTGAGGAGAAATATATGATTAAGCTTGACACCATTGGGTGATATGTTTAATAAACACCTGGATCCTTGAAGACTCAGTGAAGCTGTAGTCTTTTTTTATTTTTGTCTGGCACCAAAGGTGAATTGGAGGTTTGGCTCAAAAACTGTGGAATTAACTACCTATGGGTAGCTGCACTGTTATTTCTGTATTTTCATACATCAGTTAAGACACTTGGACTGACTTGGAATATTTTATACATTTCCTAGATCATGTTATTTCATTGTAAAATATTAAGCATCATTCTATCGAAACGTAAGATGTACTGTTTGGTTTGAAATCTCAGAAATAGTGCTTTTAAGGAATTTAGATTTTTCTCCCCTTTTTAAAGTGACTGTGGCTGCAAGGTAGTGCCGTCGTCTTTCAATCGGAAGGTTGTGGGTTGTATGCTACAGTATGCTCTTTATAAATGGGTTGTGAATTGGTGAATGATGACTTTTAGAATGTAAAGTGCTTTGAGAAGTTGTAAAGAATGGATAAAGCGTTATATAAGTACACTTCATTAACCATTCATCATTTAAAATGTACCTTAAATCAATACTTTTTTACACAACTCAGGCTGTTGGAGCCCTATATTATCGTGCGATAAGCATTTGTGTTCTAAACTAGGAATTTGTCAACCTTTATCCTGCACTCAAGTTTTGAATAAATGTATATGTGACAAGTAAAGGCAAGGGATAAGATTTCATTTGAGCTAATGTCCAACCTGACACATTTCAATGTAAGTGATGGAGGCTGAATCCCCTGTCCGCTTTCTGTGTCAAAAACACTTTACAAAGTTCAGCATTTCACAGTCATTTTTTTTTTCTTTGAAAGCAGACTGTGAACCTAACCTTTAGGCTAAGCTTGGAAAGAACTAAAGGCTTAATAGCCAAGTTTGAATTATAATCTATTCGGCAAGTACAGTTACAACCAAAAATGCTCACGACAACGTGATTATACATTACTGAACAGTATATATTCACAAATGTACATATCTCACACACGTCTGAATCATTAACAGATATTGTTTGAGAACTGAGTGAACAGACACAGCAGGAGTTTGACTGATCCAAAAGGCTTTTGTCTGTAGAGGACAGAGTGCCTCCTGTCGTATCCTTCATGAGTCTCCCTGTTTTGTCCTGTTGTCAAGTTGTATCCTGCTAACCTCCCAACCTCTGTCAGCTCCCATCACTGTCCACATCACCCAGTTTGTCTGCAGTTTGTGTGACATTTAACAACGTGTATGTCACAAGCAACACAATTGATCTCTGAATCTGAGTTCAAATAACTTGTATAATGCTCATTGCAATTTCATAGTACACTGAGATTCCAGAGCAACATAATAGTTCACTTCAGTAATGGGAAATGTTTATGCCTCAGGACATTTTTCTGGCCAAGCAAATACCAAACTAAAGGATCACAGACAAAACAAAAAATAATAACGCTCTTGTTCAGTCTCTCATAGCCTTGACCTTAAATTAAAAATACAAGTAATTCCAATTGATTTCATGAGCACAACACACAATAATAAATATGTGCATGCTATGAATAATGTGTTACTAGTTCCTAGTCATATCATATTATTTTTCTTATCCTATCATCTCCCTGATAAGGCTTCTAGCCTAAAGAAGGTATCACTCTGTATAGATAAAGTTGAGTTGATAAGCATGGAAGAGGATATTAGCATCCCTGTTGATAAATGCAAAAATAATACAAAAATAAAATCACTAGGCAAAAGGCTTTCAGAAAGACAATGATGATCTATGGCTTGGTTGTGCTGGAACAATAGTGTACTGTATAAGAAAACAAATAAAAAAACTAACAAAATCTTAGTTATTTAAAACTTTGCTACCCTGTAATTGACACTATGTGGTGAAACGTTATCCTTACCCTACTGTCTGGAGACTGCACAAATGTTAATAAGAGCTTGAAAAAGGAGGACAAATAAAGTTATCACGAAACAAATGAGGTGCAAATTCTTCTTCTTTTTATACACAATGGCCTTCTGTGTATATGATTAAAGAAAAGGTACAGAATAATTATATCTGTGCAAACAGGTTAAAACTATGTTGTATGTTATTGTTGTAATACTAATTTTGACCACAAGAGGCTTAAGAGCACCTCTACCACATTTTCTAAATTGAACTTCACAAAAGCATTCATTCATTTTTCCTTCAGGGGAATTTCAGTTTGTCCATGAACTCAAAACACATGGTACATATAGTATAGTACAGCGGTTTTCAAAGTGTGAGGCGCGCCTCCCCTGGGGGGCGCCAGAGAGCTTCAGGGGAGGCGCAGCGTGAGAAAAAAATAAAGAGAAACAATGAAATCTAGCTCGTTAACTTCAGCTAACTTTATGCGAGCGGCAACATGGATCGATTTTTAGTGAAGTTACCTAAAGTGAGAGAGGAGACAGCGTCTGGCCACCCCAGTTGGCAGCTTTGTTTTGAAATAAAAGTTGTGGCTCATCGGACATTTATCAGAGAAAATCCCTGATGTCCGAGTGCAAGTGAATGCAGCACAAGACGCGAGCCTTGTAACCCTGGCGCGAGCGAGGAAATGTGATTGGCGGCGATTTCATTTGAACGGGCGGCAGAAAACGAGAAGCATTCGGACCCAAGTACACGGAAGGAATAAGGTATTTGCGGTCTACAATGACAGAGAAGAGACTGTCAAGTTTGGCTGTGCTCAGCATTGAATCAAAACGCACTAAAGCTTTGGATGTTAATACGTTTGTGAGGCGTTTTGCTGAACAAGATGGTAATCGCCGCATTCAGCTGTAATAGGCATGCCAACTTGATGCTCTGCTCACGGATGACTCGAGCATTAAAAACTGTTAAGATGATGACCTTACGTGTGTACATATATTTTTTTCTTTGTGGGGGTCTGCCCTGAGAAAGTCAAATAAGATGGTGTGTAAAACTACACTGCCCAGACAAAAATAAGTAACCACTTTGATTTAACTAGGCCAGTAGGTAAGGGCATTCCACTGGATAATAATACCCCTGCATTATAGCAACAACAATAATAATAATAATAGCAATAATAATTGGGAGGGGGGGGCGCGGCTGTTCTTATATTCTCTGAGGGGAGGCTCACCTTCCCACACTTTGAAAACCCCTGGTATAGTATGTTGTGTGCAAGCAAGTTATGTCACATGTATATAACTGTAAATGTTATATGCTACTTTTGGTTAGAAGTGTATTTGTATTTGCGCTGATCTGCTCTGGTGCACTTTCACTCCTCATCACAAGGAGTCCTTGAATCAAAACACTTTCTCCCACCCAGATGTAAAGCCAAGGAAAAATTATTTTCACTATATGAACAATACTTACATCCTATGAGCATGACACAGATGGAGAAGATCTTCTCAGAGTTGGTGTTTGGGGACACATTTCCAAAGCCCACACTGGTCAGACTGCTGAAGGTGAAGTACAGAGCTGTGACGTACTTGTCTTTGATAGTGGGTCCTGAACCTGGAGTGGACATTTAGAGTTGTCAATATAAATAAATGAGAGATTCCTGATGATAACGCGTTTTATGAGCTCACTAGTACAGACAGATCCACTTCATTATAGCAATATGTTTCCTTTCTTTACCTTGGATGGAGCTGTTGAATGGTTTTCCCAACTGGTCCCCCAGCGTGTGGAGCCATCCAATAGAACCATTCCTCTCTACACTACCAATGGCATACCTGGGAAAAAATCAAAAGTTAACAAGTTACAATGCGATTGTATGTATATAATTATTTATGTTAGCAATATTACTAAGCTACAGTATGTAAAATATAAGCAAAATATATATTTTTTAAACTCCTAAAAGTTTTGTCTTTATATCATTTGTTTGATTAATATTGAATCAGAAATCTTGAGGAAATATGTTCTACTACAGTTTCTGCAGTATCAATTTTCTATGATCTCACTTTAGTTGGGATACAATCAACTTGGTGCTTGAACACACAGCATTAGAAAATCTATTTATACTGTACATATATATTTTTTATGGAAGATATAAATTGTATTATTACGACACAAGCACCCAAATATTAGCAGTTCTGAGGTATGCCGACGGAGACATGATAATTCCCACATTACTCCTCTGTGAATCTTATATGAATCATCAGACAGTCTCATGGCACTGTACCAGATGCAGGCCAGCCAGTGAGCGATGAGGGCGAAGGTGCACATGAGGAGGAAGAGCACAGCCGCGCCATACTCCGAGTAGCGGTCCAACTTCCTGGCCACACGCACCAATCGCAGGAGTCGAGCGGTTTTCAGTAGACCAATTAGAGTGGTGGTCTGATGGGAGTGGGAGAGACAGAGTGTAGGTAGTGGTAATGAGATATTGTAAAGCACGGTACCAAACAGAGTCCCTTAGCTCTGATATCTCCTCACAGATTTCCCACCTGCTGTCACACATACACATTCACACACATTCACACACAATCACACACATTCACACACATTCACACACAGGTGTTGCAGCCATGGTCTTGTCCCAAAGTGAATCACAGTCGTGGAGGTGGTAAATTCTGACTCTGTCTCCTTTCTACTTGTATTCAGCTGGCCCCCTACGTGTCCATACAACAAATAAATAACTGGATGATTACTGGCAGAGAGCCTAGTCTTGTGTTGTGTCCTCATAGTAAATAATGCTTGTCTGGTGAGGAAAATCTCCACTTTCTTGGCTATGTGGCCCCTATGGAGAGTTTCTATGAAGTGAAGCTTGGCACAGCTTTCTTCGGGCAGTATTTCAACGTACAGTAGGGGAGATTCTACATTCATCTTTTTTGTCTTGTAGGGTGGTTTAATCACTATAAATAACTTTTTATTACTGACACCCATCACGTATAGATGGATTTGAAGAACTGCCTGATCTGTCAATGACTCTGGGCTGAGCTGTGGAGTGATGAACCTCGGCCCCAGTGGTTTCCATCCTTATTATGTAGGAAGTATCCTGAGACGGCTGCAGCAACCTACTTACTTCCTCCTTCAACTTCTAACTCCTACATGTACCTCTTCCTTCAGACGCTTTCCTCCCACGTCCTTAAATTCTCTATATCACTTCTTTATCATCAGTAAGCCATACGCCCTTAGTACCCATACTGGAGACATAAAGTCAAGATATATGGTGCTTTGATTTTGAATCTTTTTTTTTTTTCCTCGGTCTGGTATATTTCCCCCCCAATTTGATGGAAGTACAATTTTTACAATTCTGGGCTATCCGTATATTCAGCTGATTATTGTTTTTGTATATATTGATACATCCTTTATTTATTAGAAAATTGTAAAAATAAACTTTAACTTCTGGATATATTCCAAAAAGTGTACTAAAATAAAATGTTTACGAATAATCCCATAGTCTCTTTTTTTAGTACCAATATATGTAGACTGTGTCTGAAATCCCTTCTTGTTTACTATATACAGTAGTGCACTATATGGACCATCTTCTTAATTCAGTTTAACATGTCTGTTTTTAGTAGTTTTAGGAGGTTCAAATTACCCTTGTCGCAATACAGTAGAACTATCAGTGATTACACAAAATGACGGAGATTACTTATTGTCGGAACACATAATTGACAGCCTACTATTGATTCATCTAGTAAGTGTCTAATACAGTATACAGTAGTGTATGGGCGAAGAGGGAGCAATTGTAAGACATGAAACTGAGAAAGAAAATATAACTGCTGATTCTGGAAAAGCCAGAAGGAGAAACTATTTGTTAAATCTCCTTTAAAAAATACTTAAATAATGAACACATTGTTGAAACTCTCAAAACAATCCTCTATTATAAAAAAAACTGTGTTTGAATTTGCGCACTGCATTGAATGATGCACGGCAGTGACATTTTACTTTGACGCTCTATCGCAGCTGACTGCAAATCGGCATCCCACCGGACAAAATGAAATTATGAAACAAAAACTTAACCACCTTTACCTCTTTCTTTCTTCCTCTAATTCCCTATCTTCCATCTCCATGCCTCCCTCCTCCTTTCCTGTCTTTGTACTTTTCTTTTGCCTGTCTTTAATCCATTAGATAAAGTCACCGGCAGAGTCACATTGTCAACGCAGCAATCACATTCTCTCTTTATCCCTTCATCTCTCTAACGCTCCTCTTGTCCTCCCTCACACTTTGTGAACTGTTTATATACCCCCTAACACCTCTCTTTCCCTCCATTATGACGTACCTCCTCTCCGCTGCGGTAGATGAGCAGGTCAAAGGGAATAGCAGCCACCATGTCGATGAGGAACCAGCCCTTAAAGTAGTGGACCGCGATACGCACCGGGTGGCTCACCACCTCATCATTGACGTTCACATATGTTGTCCTGAGTGAAACAGTGTAGATTATAGTCAATTTACTGACATTAATAGTTTCTATAATAAAAAATGTGCAATTAGAAACTATAAAAACACTTGTTTCACTGTTTTTTGAGTTTACTACGACTAAAATGTATCTACTAAATATGCACTAATACTACTCGTGCTATTATACTGTACACTTATTTGTTTGTTTTCTGACCTGAAATTGATGAGGATGTCAATAATGAACATGATATCCACCATGAGATCCACCACAGTGAGAGGAGAGCAGGAGTAACCGCAGTTCTGTATGGCTACCTCTTCCTGAGGAGAGGAGAGATAAAAAAGACAGGAGAAAATAATTATAAGCTAACACTCTAAAAATAGAACAGTTCTGTATGGTTATCTCCTTCAAATGGACTAGCATTAGGGGATTCGAGATCATTTGCATACATATTTAGATAATAAATAATAAGGTGACACAGAGACAGGGTTTCCAGTGGGATCCCATCTACAGGGCATCAAAACACAAAACGGTAGAAAACAAAAGCTACAATAGACTTTGTAAATTAAGATAGATACATTGTCTTAAGCACTGAGCCTGTTTTTCAGGTCTCAGGCTAGAAAATGACATTCCCAGAACAAATGACCATATCTTCCCTTCTAAAAGGGTTAAATTAATAATCTTTTTTCTCAAAGTAATGATAAACCTGTGAGTTGGATGTAGACAAGTCAGAATCAATATAGATGTTTTTTATTTTAAAGAAAATTCAGATTGAACATAGTAAAAAACTGTAAATTATAGTGTCCGTCCAAAAATACTTTTTTTACTTATAGTGAAAACTACCCTTGGATGATGGTAAGGTAGACTAAAAGCTTTAGGAATCCAAAGTACAACATATACATTAATAAGTACCCTGTATCAAGATTGATGCAAAACAAGTGACATTTGACCTTTTTAGAGAGGTTTAGCAAAAAAAACTCCACCTCTGAGGTGATTTGGGTGGAAATGGCCGTTTTTACCGTTTCTCTAGAACCCATTGGTCGATTTTGGTGATTGACATCTCTTTTTGACCGTTAGAGCCAATAGAATCGAAGGGGAATTTCCACATACATACACACACTACCATTGAGAAATGAGAGCTATGCGCACGCAGTTTTGCATGAGAGCGAACCTATCTCTCGCTCTGACATCTGGAAACGGAAAAGCAGGTTTATTGCTTATGGATTATCAGAAATCATTTCAAAGGGACACAGACACATTGGATTAACCTATGGATTAACTTCAGCAGCGTTTTTATCGTTTTAATGCCAATGAAGACCACTTTTGACCAGACAACGACCAAGTTAAGCCATTTTGCCATTTTTAGCTACCTAGCGCCACATGTTTTGATGTCTGTTCTTGTTAATATCTTCGCAAGTTCTTATCATGCAGTGATAATGTATGTTCCGATCGATTCTGTGTCTTCTCACAATCTAATCGATGGGTTGGACGTGCAGCTACGATAAGTAATAAGGGTGTTATGAGTGAGTTTCTGTGCAGTAATGCGTTAGCATTTTTTCGCTCGTGGCTAATTTAGAGGCTCAGCGTTAGCTTTGTGGGTTTACATTTTTTTTTTTTTTTTAAATGATCAGTTAGCTGAGTTTCTTCCCGTTACATGGATATAAAACATTCATAGTTTATTGAATATTAAGATGCCCTCAGACGCTGTTTCCTGCAGATGATGCGTTTTCCCCCCCGGTATCGGGGGGGCGGTGTAGAACAGGTTTTAAGAAGCACTAGCTATGTTTACACATATTGCATTTCGTAAATATATATAATATATTTCTTTATCACTATGTATCACGGTCAAAACCCTTTTAAAAAATGTGATCTCTTTACTTTTTGTGTAAGATAAATGAAGATGCTTTAACTTCTCTTGATATAGGTGTGGGCGATATATATTGTGTTTTATTTTCAGCTTCTTTGCAGTGGCGATATAACTGCATTTAAAGGTATACTCCACTTAAAATACAAGTTTACCTCTTTTCAATTTCATGCCAATTTAGGGAAATGTATCTTAAGAAGAGCACAACTATTAAAAAAATAGATGTGTTCCTTGGCTCCGAATAGGATTGAAAATAATCAGGTGTTATCAGGTTTATGAGGTGTTGAGGCAGGTAGATTTCCCTTGTATGTGTGCTTTATGCTTGTAAGTATAGTGGTTTAACAAACCAACATGTCTGTTTGTTCTTCACGGTTACAGTGGTTTGCAAACTCACTCCACGTCATGACAGAACGTAACAGAAAAACTGGTATAAAACCGAGCCCTATGTTGATATGTATTACACATTTACTGTCCATCTTGAACTAATCCTGAGAACTCTAGGTTTGGTCCATAGACTCCACTCTAAGAGTCTTGTATTGTTAAGATGTAAAGCCCCTATGGAGTAAATTTGTCATTGGTAAATCGACTTGACAGCTGTCTGATTAATGATTAATGATCCCTATATGAGCCCCCACCTGGTCGTTGAGGAGGAAAGCGGCTGAGTAGGGCGTCAGGATGGCGGTGTAGATGACCAGCAGCAGGATGAGCCAGTCCCACACCGCCTTGAACGGGCTGTAGTGCAACACCGTCCACTTGTGGATGCGAGGAGCGTGGAGCTTGTACTCGGGCAACACATCTGCACCTAGAGACAGCACCTGGGTAGAGAGAGTGTGAAGAAGAAGCCTTCATCACTGTTGGCATAGGGGCATGGTAAAAGGCACACTGAGGGAAACACATTAATAACTTAGCTGGACATTGATAAATAAAACCCAAGTCATTATTTGTTCAAGACAGATTTATTTGAAGTCATATACAACTATGCTGTGCCAAAGTAACCTGCTTACCCTCTCGTTCAAGGTTGTGAAGGCCAAACAGAGCAACAGGAAATTGCAGCCTTAAGTAGAGGCTCAATCAGTGGAAACACCTGTGCTCAATTGTCCATACCATGTACAGTAGTGCATGGGCGGCAATTTTCTTGTTTAAGGCTTCTGTGGTCCGAAATATAGAATATGTTGACCTATTTGATTTATTGTGTTAAAATAATTTGCCTTACATTTTGAATATGTTTGTAGATAAGAATAACAGTAATTAAGGGTATAAATAGTGGATTGTCCTATGGGGAGGGGCTTAACATATATAAACCTCTGGCCACAAGTGTTTTGAGGTTAGTCTGACTGTGGCTGTAGAGCAGAGAGGTACCAGTTATATGTCCTCGACCTGTACGTATATATTGAGGTTTGTTTTCTTTCTGTAGATCCTTGTTACTTTGTGTTCTTTTAGCATTTTGGCTGTTAATAAAAGCACCTAAAGATACATTTTTTGTGACTCTAGCCATCTTATTTAATTCCTAGTTTTTTCATCGACCCTTTTTGTAACAGACAGGCAATCAGATATTGAGAAATAGGAAAGGCAAGTCACGAGGAAAAAGGAAAGGGAGGATAAAGAGTAAAAAAGAGGTGGGGTGAAGGGTTGAGAAAGCAGAAAGGCAGATACAATACATAATGACTTAATAAAGGAGAAGAGGGGTAGACTAAATCGCAAAGATACTGTGTACACAAATAGTTAATATGATGACACTATGCACACACACAGCATGAGTGCATATAGAAGCTTCATGAAATATAGATCCACTTCCATGACATGAATGCTTACGCAGAGGCTCTAACAACTGCATTTTGCAATTACAGAGATAGAGCCAGTGTCCTCTTAAGATGACAAGAATTGTTCTGAAGGCACTGACCCTTTTTAAGGTTAACCTGCATGTCCATCCCCCCCCCCCCCCCCCCCCCCCCACACACACACACACACACACAGACATACAAACAGTCTTTCTAGATATGCAAATCCACAGCATACACACGTAGCAGCAACGATAAGAGTAATATCTTCTAGTGGCTCTGATGCATGGGCTGCAAATGAACCATATTTAACTTAACTCCAAACACATATGAACAAAAACACACACAAATCTTATTCCTCCATCTTCTGCCTCACACACAAACACATTAAAAGATGGAGAGAATGAAATATTGGGTATTATTGAGCAGTTCAAAGTAGTAAGTTCTTGCAGTAATGTATTCATTCGTCTGCAGTGTATTTGTCCTGTATGAAATCAGGAATGAATCAGTTTACACATGCATTAGCATTGTTGACAGTTCTGCTGTTTAAGTGGCCGTGTCATACCTGACCTTTACCCAGAGGTGGGGACTCGAGTCACATGACTTGACTCGAGTCAGACTCGAGTCGCATATTTTTTGACTTGAGACTTGCTTGACTAACATTGATAAAAGACTTGACTTGACTTTGACTTGGTATTCATGACATGAGACTTGACTTAAGCTTGATGACTTGAAAGGACTTGACTGAAAATTAAATATTTGCGTTTGTTTTTGTAGTGAGATATTACGTTTAGTTTTTTCAAAAAACGTGATTGGGTGATTATAGCGCTGTGCGCGCAAACCTGGCAACCCACTAGACGGCAGGAGTGTCAGTTAACATGGCAGCGGCTTGCGTTACTCCAAAAATAGTGAAGTTTGGATTCAAGGATTATGTTGTCGATGACGCTAATAAGAAGAGAACAGCGGTATGCAGGGTCTGCAGCATAAAGATCAGTGACACGACCACCACAACATCCAACTTCATTCGTCACTACAAAAAAACCCACAGAGAAAGGTGCGTGAATGTGTTGTGTTAGCTAGAAAGCTAACGTTAAGTTTAAGCTACGTTAAACTTGGTTTCAAATCGATTAAGCATTGCAAAGAGAAGACAAAACGGTAAATGAACACTAGAACCGCCAAGGGATTCATTTTGACTAACCCTGATACTGACGGGCTGTCAGGAGAGGGAGAGGGAGAGAGAGAGCTAGAGGAAAAGAGATGCCTCGTTTATTTCCCCTGTGTTATTATCAGAAGTTACTGTAAACTGTTGAATAATGTAGTTCATCTACTTTTAGTAGTTTGTTTAAATGTTTTAATTATGTTGTTTTTGTTTGTAGAAGTGCATCATTCCTTGATTTATTGTAAAATGAATCTGAACTTTTTGATCTGTTATGATGATAAACTGAAGCAATTTCTAAATTAACCCAATTAACTGAGTTTTAAATCGTCCTACTTAGTTTATAAGGAAATTATGAAGAGGAACAAATTCAATGATTTGAAAATGATATCTATGTAGGTGCTGACGCTGTTGGCGGTTCTAGTGTTAACAGACATTTTTAATGAAATATGTGTAATGGCAAATGCCATATATGATTTTCTTACCTGGAATTCTGCCTTTTTGAACAGACTTTTTGACTGAGTCCTAGCTATATTGTCTGCAGTTCTAGGTTTAATATGAATCTAATATGATTGTCATCGGTCTAAATTAGATTTCAAATGATTAACTGTGTATGTAATGAAGATCATAGTGTGGGTTAAATCCATTTTCATAACCACTGTCTTTTAACTGATTTAAATGTGGAAACTGGGCTTATTCATCAGAATTTTGTATGACTTGACTTGACTTGCTTGACCTGAGCAATGACTTGACTTGACTTGCTTGACTCTCACCACAGTGACTTGGGACTTGCTTGATACTTGTAGGTCAAGACTTGAGACTTGCTCATGACTTGCACATGTAGGACTTACTCCCACCTCTGCCTTTACCTCACCTACCTCTATTAAGCTTACCATTGATAAAAAGATGCTAAATTGGCTGTGAATGGAAAGGATGTATGTTTCCTTCTTGTTTCACACATATCAAACCAGGCATGTGAAGCTAGACAGAACATCCTGAACTTTTGACCTATACACACACACATTCTAGATGGTGCAATAAAAGCGTAGAAGTTCCAGCTACCGTTGTCACTCGTAACAAAATAACCCACAATATAAGGCAATCTAATAACAAAGAATATGGCACAGAGAAGAATCACTTCCTCTCAGACAGTCTCTAAAACAGAATACTAGAAGCTTGAGAGAGATACTATGACATTTGCAATACAGTCAGAAAGTATTTAGAGTTACATTCATTTTAGTAGTGCCAACACATTGGATTTAAAATTCAATAATGAGTGTGGTTTGATTACTGACTTCAAGATAAAACGGGTGACATCAACATCAGTTGATTGGTGGAGATAATAAAGCCCTTTTATGTATAACAACTCAGTTTTAAGAGACAGATAGGACTTTGAATAAACCCAATTAACCTTTAAATTAATTTTAAATATTGTCATATTAGACTGTGAAGCCGTTACAGTCAATTATGTTAACGAAGACACTTCTTGTATTGTGGTGATTCCCTGCTATAACCAACATCAGTTCTTGCTTGTCTGGTCATCAGTCTGGTCTTTAGCATGGACACAAATATTTGTGGATTATGTTAAAGTGACTGACTTCACTCTGTTGGCCAGTAAACAACATCTTGGTTGGATTGTAGTCCTTGATTTGGGAAAAGGTTACACTTTTTAACCAATAGTGACGTAAATAGCCCCAAACATCTATCAGGCTACACTTCAAAGTCTCAAATATTCTACATAGCAAATGCACATACTGTTTAGGTGTGTATTATATTGGGAAATGTTGTCTTTATTTGATCAGCCAATGATTGGAAAGTTGCTCAAGTAAGTTGCTGTTTACTTACGATCATAATCAATAACAATTCATTAAATGTCAGAAATTAATAGTGGGAAATGTCATTTTCACCTTCTTATCTGTTTTTATTTTTTCCAAGATGCCAGAACTTCTCGAAAATGATTCAACCTGCATCCATTATGTGCAACCATGTATGGTTTCCCAGGCAATTGCTGTTGGCTTGGAGCAAAAACTCAGCATTGCTGACACATTTGTATGCAGGCAGAGTTGACCTATTGGCCTGGCTGGCAGTGAAGTAGATCAGACTGACAGAGTTCCAACACATTCTACACAGAGGGGAGGCATCAATAATCGATAAGGGACAAGGTAAAACTATAAAAGATTCAGTTTGACTGTTTTGTGATTCAAATATTATACAGAGTCCTGCAATCCCAGAAGGTATCACAATTCTTTCATCACTTCATCTCACCTCATGTAGCTTTAATTACTCATTAATCCAGTTTGAGCTAAATGTTCCTGTTTCTCCTGCCCTTACCTTGACTTGCTATTTTTTTGTCTAATTTCTAGATGTATTCCCTGCACGTTTCTGTCCTGTGTCCAACAATCCTCCTTCAATCTTTCCAATTCCTTCTCGTCTTCCACACAGTGTGCTGCTCCCGTTTCTTATTACCATTCATCCTGCCTCCCATCTTCTCCTCCTTTCTTTTCCTTTCTGAACTGGTTCAATCCTTTAGACTTCCATTACCACCCCTTTAGACTTCCATTACCACCCCTTCTTTAACAGTCCATTTCTTTTTCAACTACTGTGTGCTTGAATGGGAGAACATCTGCTATAGAAGAATCCCATATGCCTCATGTTTTCCTCAGGAGTTCTTCATATAGATACAAAAAGCTGGCAGGATAACATCGGCTTGATTTATTAAAAATAGCAAGCAATATTTCAGTGCATACCCTCTCAGTAATTGAGCCAGATGTTAAATATCTAAGCCAGCTCTTTAAAAATCTGGCTCCTTCAAAGACTTTTTTTTCAAGTATTTATGAATTTCTGTTTGAAAGTCCCTGCTTTTAGAAAATTACAGTTATAA